TAATTCTAGAACTTGGATGTTGGAATATTTGACGAATTTAACAAGTTTTTGGGTTTTAAAGAAACCTCAAAATTTAATTTCACTCGATTTGTGGATTTCACTTTGAGAAAACGATTAATACTAGTTTGGGATTTTTGAGTGAAATTAAATGCTAGTTGACCCGAGTTAAATTCGCCAACTCAAAAGTGGAAATTTATGTGAATTATTTGTATGATTTTAGGAGTTGGTGAAGAGCACAATCTTGATCAAAGTTTGGAATTCTAGACACTTCACTTGAGGTGAGTGTCTCTTGCATGAATCGTGTTTAACTGCTAGTTGAACTACTTGTTAAAAGTACTTGCTAGAGATATCATGAAATGTTATATGCTATGTGATTGCATGAAATGCCACAAGTACAAGTGTTGCAATGTTGATTGGAGCGTGGTCTCGTCGACTAAATAAACCAAACGGATGCACGTACCACGCTCTATTAGAGTGGGAGGTACCTCTCTGCCGTCTTGGTAAAAGTGCTTGCAATATTCGTGTTGGAGTCGGGCCCGAAAATAAGGGGGAAGACGTTGCTAGGAGATGTGTAGATTAGGGAAAATGTCTACATGGAGTTTAGGTAGTGAAAGTTGACGGAGTGTCGACTACTATAAATTTTCTGATCAAGTGCGTGGACTTTGGCTCCTGAGAGCCCCGTATCCTTTTTTTGTCATGTTATTTCGCTTTCTTAAATTGTTAAGTGCTTACTTGTCTATTTGTACTTGTTAAATTGCCTTATGTGAATTGCATGTTTCGAGGCACCACTGAGCTATAGGCTCATCCCTTCCAAATTGTTTTCCTTGACAGGTTTTGAAATGCATGAAGTCTTGGAGAACTAGAACAGAAATGTTATATTTTGAATGCCCACTTTTGTAATTGTACTTTTGGAAATGTTAGTATCTTTTGGATGATTTTTGTGTTTTTGGGAAAATGTGAATCCTGTGGTGCTTCTGTGCCCTGGATTAGGAACTTTAAATTGTAAATTAAGTTGAATTTAAGTATACTAAGCTCAACGTTTTCGTTGGTACTTGGAATTGTGTTTTGGGCTGTATAAGTTGAATTGTATGAATTATTTAAGTACGTGACTTGCTCGAGAAGTAAGGTTTATTTTCGATTTATATTTGGTGAAATTAGTTACTAGAGTGCGTGAGTCCTAGCGAGAGTTAGGCAGGCGACCCGCCAACCCTTTGGTTCGCCTTAGGGAGAAGTGGGGCCGCCACAGTTTTCAATATTTTTTTTAGACTTTGGTAGAAAACTTCTAAAGAACAAGAATGTGTCACTGATTACATAAATGGCAAGGCTTTAAGTTCATTGTCATACAGCAGTTCAAGTCATGCAATATACATCAGACTATTTAGATTTTTTATGTTTTTGACTTAAGAGCAAAATACATCTTATGTTTTCGTTTTGCTTCTATTAGCCGTGAATAGATTTAGAAGGTTGCTGTGTTCCTATGACTTGATTGATTCCGAATTCTGATCTTTCATTAATATTTCATTCGGCTTCTTTTCTTTTCACATTAACCTTTAAGCCATTTATATTAAGTACCAAAATTGATGTTTTGGTAACGGGTTGGCCATTCTTTTGTTTACAGAAGATCAGCCAAGATTTGATCTTGCCTATTTTCAAGTTTTTGAATGTTATCATATCGTCGAATTTTTTTTTATTTTTTTTATTTTTGAATTATTAATCACTGAATTAGATGTTTAAATTTACATTATAAGACTATTTTTGAATAATAGATTATAATAGATTATACAATAAGTTTGTATTTTATGCAAATATTTTTATGAACTACACTAAATAATTTATTATTTTTAAACAATTTCCATTCAACGAATGGGTACAAAACTTGTTATTTAAATAATTTTAAACAATAGGTGATCAAAATGCAAATCATTCAATATGTATTTTACACTTTGGTGTAAAAAGGGTGGACTTGTACAACAATTGCAACCATGTTGCAACTTGCAAGTTGAATAAACAATTGGTAGTGCAAATTGGTATCATTGGAGAAAAACTTTTGATCGTATGTTCTATTCAAATTTAGAATTTTGATCCAAATCCTAGTAGAATTACCACTATTTGTAAAATTATAGTTAGATCATTAAAACTTTATAATTTAGTGAGTACTGTATAAACTGAGAAAATGTGTTGGTAATTTTGGAAATTTAAAGTATAATATTCCATAAACTTAAATCAATTATTATTCTTCTTTTTAATTTTTAGTCAAAAAGTAAATTTAGTACCAGTGACTTCTACTTTTATGTATAATGCTAGAAATCAAGCATTCTATTTAAATAAATTTTATTTTGGCTAACATTGCACATATCTACCTTTGTTTGTATATGATTTCATCAAATATAAACTTATTTAAGAAATAAATTTTTTTTAGAATCTTACATTCTATGATCCTACCTACAAAGAGAATAAATGTACATGTATGAAATTAGAGTCAAAATTCTCATTTAATGCTTTATTGTGCATTTAACATGTGTAAGAATACAACTTAGACTTTGAGTATGAGTACAACATATCAATCAACCATCTTACAAGTTAATACTTTTCTTATTACTAGGAGACATAAACCGCGCGGTGCGCGGTGGTATAAAAAAAAGATGCCCAGACGAGCATATAACGCGGAAATTAAATACTGGATAAGTATATGGTTTGTTAGACCAATGGTTAAAATTTTTTTTTGAGCTTAAGAATAAGAAATAGGAAAGATAGCAACTAAATAGAATACGATATGCAATTGAAATAATTTTCATACAAAGAAAGATCTTAAGAATAGAGCAAGATAAATAATAGGAAGTGGAATAGAGCATAGTTCTAGCACTCATCAACTACAAATTGTTCTCAAAGATTAGTGTAATATTCATCAACTTAATACAGGCTAAGTTAGAGGAATAGTGAAATTAAAATGCCATGGATATTGTCTTTCAATGCCAGCTTCGTTGAATACAATAACACCAAAAGAGGTTGCTGATTGTGGAATAAAAAGTAATATGTCTCCCGGGCAAAGAGCATGTTCGGCTGCAAAAGTGGCCCAATTCCCGTCGAAGGATCAGTGTTTCATGCCAATGTAATATGCTTTATAGCCGCTTGTAAGAATTACTGTTGGTGTTGTGCCTTCATGCAATCGAAGGTCGGCATATCGTGGTAGGGTCTATTTTAAAAGGAAAAATTTTTTTTTTTGTTAGACAACTGAAGAATACATTCGTGAACAAAATTGTATAAAGGAAAACACTTACCAGCTTGTGCTGTGAGCGACTTGTATAAAACTGATAGAAAGAAACAAATGATGACCAATCATGCTGCAGAAACTAATTTATAGAGGAAGTGATAGTACATAAACAGGCCTGCTGGTTGAGCAAGAAACCAGATGCTTCAACATTGGGTGCAATGCTCGGAAACATAGGCAAAGGAAGTGTCCATGGCATGAGAATATGTGATCGGGAAGTGCAGAAAGCCATGGAATCGTAGGATAAAATTCCTTTGATTCTGAAGAAGACCATGTCATTCTTGCGGATTAAATTAGTTGTACAGTACAATTCCCAACCTTCTTCAAAATATCCGTCCTTGATTTTAATGTCCCAGGAGCGAAGGCCATGGTATACTGTAATTGTTATGCCATCTTGGAGTCCAATTGATTCAAATAGATCAGTAGAGATTTTCTGTGGAAGGGAAAAACGGGCAAGTAAAAAATAGTATGTGAGAAACAAATAAGAAAAAAAGAAGATTTTTTTTTTGTTTAACCAACCTGTTTGGTTCTATCTGAATAGAAAAGAACGAAACACCATGGTCGCCCTATTGGTACGTTTTCAAAGAAAGTGATGGCTGTATCTATAGACAAGGTTATAGCGTGAAACACAAAGGAAACGTAGAAGTAACTAATACAGAAGATGAAAGATATGAGTATACCAGTAGCTGTAAAAGCTTCAGGAGAAAGGTTGATTATGTTCTGCAGCCATTGGGTAATGGTGGCAAAGGAATATAAAGATGGCTCTCCTGTATGGCCCAGTATTTTTGGATAAGTTGAAAAGAATTTTTTTTTGATATAACATATGTTCTGTTCTCCAGGGGTTTCAACCATTGTTGCAGCATGGATTTTTGTTTTGTTGAAAGTGCAGAGAAAGAACCTGGTTTTGTTGCAATGGGGAATGACTAACCATTTATTGAACGGATTCTTTGGCGTAGTCATTGGCAAGTTAGGAAGCACAATAGGAAGAAAACGTGTGGGGAAAATGCTAAGAGGTGATCCACAATAAGAGCTGTGGTAAGGCTAGAGAAATCTAAGCATGCAAAGTGCAGATGTTCAGACATTTGTGTATCCTTATATGCTGGAGAAGTTTTCTGTCTTCAATCATGGAATAGCAAGGAGAGAGTAAATATGGTAGGTGAATGGAAGTACAAAGGAGTAAAGTTGCAGAGGCGTAATCAATGGCTATTGATAAAATGGTGGCAGGTGTATTCAGCTGTATGGTGCTAGACCTGTAACTTAGCTGGAGGTGTCTCTGGCATAGTCACTGAAGCAACAAACTAGCAAACCTATATAGAACATGGGTGGAAAGTCCAAGAGTGGATCAACATTAACTATGGAAATGGTTATATCTATCATATTAGGTAAGAACCAGGCACGCTTCTGATGCATTTAATGGCCAGCTACACTATTATATTGCAGTGGAGTAAAGACACAAGTACCTGCACCCTGGGTGAACAAAATCCTGGGAAAAACTACTGGTTTAAAATCTTCCAGAATACATTAACAAAAGAAAAGGCTAAGACAATTCCATAGTTTGGAAACAAAAGCTGGTAGACTGCAAACTATCGCTAATGCTGTAACACAAGTAACCAGATGCAATACGATAGGATTTTTTAGATAAACAATTTAGTGCTCAGCATTACGAGCTTAATAACAGAAGTAGTTTGAAGAGCCTGTCAGAGATTGCTTCACAACAGTTCCTAATTGACAATCATTTCTTGCGCTGCCTCTTTGGAGTAGCTTCCTCAGATTCATCAAGACTGCTTAGAAGAGAACGGCATGTTTTAGATGGCAATTCTTCTTTGCCTGTAGAAAAAAATATTTCGACAGTCAAAACAATTATTTAAAGAAAGTGAGTTAATATACAAAAGAGCAAGAAGTACATACCTGGAGTTGAAGCAACACAAGAAGGAGCCTGATCAGTACTGATTTGAAGATAGCTTTCATTGGCTTCAAACGGAAATTATAAAGACAGTAAAATTAGGTATTTTATATACGCAAGCAACTATATTGAAAGCATCATATCTACAACCAAAACATAAGAGCTTTAGGGAGTATACCAGTGCTAGCATTTGAATCACGATGCAACTGATTTTCAGCAGAGGTAGTCTCAGCATTTTCCTCAAAATAATACACAATAGTGTAACGCTGATACGATCCATCATTCTTGGTGCTTCCTGGTTTAAGCTGTACAATGAACATCTTATTCTTCAACTCTTCATAGAGCTTGGCTAAAGGTAGGTCTTCATTCTATCAGCCCAAAAACAAGAGGTTTACAGAAGTCAGAACAATGAGATGTCATGGGTTGATATATATATTATATATATATGTACATGCTAAGCTTCTAGGTATATAAGGACTAAAACAAGCAAAGAAAATGCAAATTCAGACCCTGTTGAAGTAATGCATTGCTTGTGAAGCAGTAAATCCTAGCAATGTCTCGGCTTGTTCACCAAAAATTGAAGCCGTAATAGTGTCAGAATGATCGGTCAGGTCAATATCAAAACGACATCTGCAATAAATATGCGGGAGGGAGAGAATGAACATCTATGCATGAAATTCAGTAGAATAAAAGAAACTGAGAAACTGCAATAAATATCTTGCCTTGGCTGAGCAGATTGCTTTTCATTGCAATGGTTGCAAGTATAAGTGCATCCGTAGTCAGCGGAAGTTAGACGCCGGCACTTTACACATGTCATATACCAATATTTTTGCAGTATGTGCTCAAAAGAGAACATGCACTTGACCCATGAAACCTTTTAGAATGAGAATATTGTTACCTAATTTATAATAAACAGTAGAACAGAATGGAAAGTTATTCAATAAAAGACAACTGGAATTTACCTTTTCAGTTGGCAAAACATCTCTTATTTCAGTTAGTTTTTGCCGGGGGCCGTAAAACATTTTAGGAGACTGGTTATTGTACGGCTTATCACGGTGGAGGGCAAGTAGTTCCTTTTCATTCCTTGATGCCCTATGCATATATAATAACAGAAACCGGAGCAGATAGATAATCAAAGGAAAAGTATTGTTTGAAAATCTAAACGTGTATCTGAATACTAATGCTCACCAATTTTTTAGAGTTCTAGCATCTCTAACAGGAGGATCAACAACAATGACTGAGTCATTTCTTGTTGAGAGTGCTATTCCTGTTACAACAGTAAAAATACTTTGAGTTCAATTAGCAAACCAATAGTTTCTAAGGATGAACAAAACAGATTAAAGATTCTGTGTACCATTGTATGTGACAACTTTAAGCCTGCGGCATATAAGAACTGGATGCTTGCTGTGGTGATCTGTAAGCAGCTTTCCTTCATTTTCAACAAATATATTCCATAGAGATAGAACAGTAGGGACCATCCTAGCATTCAAAACACCAGCAAGGAATACTTGTTAGATAAGATTGTTAAATATTTTCTTATTGATGAATGGAAGAGTATGGATTGGAGAGAAAATGTATACTCTTCATTCACAATGAGAAATCTCTGGACAAAGGATTCCTGTGAATCCCTTTTGATTGGAATCACAGGCATTGAGTCAACAACCACAGCCATAATATCTGATAAACATTACAAAGAAGTAAGCAGCTGGATTTTCAATCAAAGTTCTTGTATTGATGACATTGCAATTGATTAGAAGCAGAATGCATACTGACCAACAGTTTGTGACTTTGAATCAGCGTAACTGGCCAAGTCTTTAAAGCTTATAGGAGTAAACTCGTTAGTCAAAACACAGCTTCCCTGTTCACTGAGCTCCTCAACCACAGTTTTTGCACTTATTACCCATTGAATAGTAAGGCCATTAGTCTGATATTGTTCCTCAATTTCTCTAACATCGGCATTTGATATCAGATACTTCTTAAAAGTATGAAGCTTTGATCCCATCTTTTCAATAGCAGCATTAAACATAATTCCCTCAACTCTTGATCCCTGATATTGGATTAAAAAAAATATGCTAACTCTATGGTGTGACTTAGCTAACGCAAAGGATAGGACAGATAAAGTATTGCAGAGTTTGATTCGTACCTGGTCATCAGAGAAAACAAATTTTTGGTATCTTGTAGGGGATTTCTGTGAAGAAGCGATATGCATTTTTTCCTGAACAATAATATGCGCTGACCAACCCCTCATTTTTGGCTTGATATCAGCAATGGAAAGCAGATTCACCATTCTATAAAAAAAGGGCAAGTTCTAATGTACAATTCATGAGACAATGTAGTAATATAATTGCTAAAGAGAACACAAACCAGAAAATAGAGCATTTAAGGGAACAAAATGACAAATGGAGAAAAAAAAACAAACCAGAAATAAATGCTACTGTCTAGCTAATTCAAGAACTTCATGAAAGACAACATTTCTAGTTTTGCACTCAGTAACTACGCCGCGATATGTTGCTGGAACTATCAGTGCTTTAACTGCAGATGAACTTTTTGCACGAGAAATGGCAACGTATAACTGGCCGTGAGAGAAAACAGGCTCGCGCAAATAAATCCCTACATAATCCAGAGTTTGCCCCTGAGACTTGTTAATCGTCATTGCAAAACATAACTTGACAGGAAATTGAGTTCTCTTAAAGGGGATGCCATTCTTTTCGCTGTCAGAAGTTTGGAGAGGAATCTTTGGCAGGAAGACTCTTTTACCACGGTATTGACCCACTGCAATCTCTGCACAAATAGTGTTGTGGCGCAGCTCTCTACATATAAGCCTGGTACCATTACAAAGGCCCTCCATTGGGTTCAAGTTTCTGAGCAGAATAATTGGACAGTTCTCTTTCAAGATCAACTTATGAGGTGGTAACCCCTTTGGATTTAAAGAATTGAGAAAGTCTTCATAGTCTCCTTGATCTCTTTCGTTAAGAGTTCTGTCAGAACTTACATAAGTATGCGGATCTCTAGGAAATCTATCAATAATGAGCTGGTTAACATCATCAACAGCATTATTTGTTCCTGATAGAATACACCGATTAATCATCTGATATGGATTCGAAGAATACACATTTAGATCACCAAAAATAGATTCGATTAACCTGGCGAGTAAAAACAAAGTCAGAACAAAAAGTGAGGGAAAACTGAAAGCTGTACAATTATATATATTCATGATACAAAAATACTATACAGAAAGATGTTCACCTATTAAGAGAAGCCTCCTTTCCATCATAAGGGATTGTCATATCCTTACATAAAGATATTTTGCCATCTTCGTCTTCTGGTTCGCGTCCCTCACCTATCCGCAGTAAGAATTCAGAGAAAGAATGATCCATAACAGCCCTCATATTTTCTGATAAAGTAATCTTCTGCAAAGTAGTCCATAGATGCGAGTTGACAAAACTTGACTGAACTAAAACGTCTCTTGTTGCATCTTTAATCACTAGTAGAGTCTGCCTGAAGTCACCTCAAAAAACCACCAGCTTGCCACTAAAAGGATCATCGCATTCCATTATGTCTTTGAGAAGCATATCAAATGCTTCGATTGTTTCCTTCTTAGCCATTGAAGCTTCATCCCACAATATAAGTTTGGCCTCTATAAGCAACTTAGCGGTCGAGCTTTGCTTACTAACTTGGCAAGACTTATTTCCTGATATATCAAGAGGGATCTTAAAGCGTGAATGTGCAGTCCTCCCACCAGGAAGTATAGAGGCAGCAACGCCAGACGATGCAACAGCAATGGCTATATAGCCTTGAGAACGCAAAGTAGCAAGTATTGACCGATAAAGGAAAGTTTTCCCTGTCCCACCTGGCCCATTGATGAAAAACTTCATTTTTTTTGGTGAGAAAACCTGTTTCATGATAGAGCTGTAGGCAAATTTCTGACCGGCATTAAGCTTCGAAGACAGTAGCAGATCCTCCTCTGTGAACTGAATATTCCTTTCAGTTTCAATTTCTTTTGTAATCCGTTGATCTAATGTAGCACCAAGGTAGTCAGGAACCAAGTGAAAGTCATCCATGCTTTTACCCATTTGTTCCAAAAATTTACTGATCTCCTGAAGTACCAGCATTCTGATGTACTGAGGAGTATATCCAGTGAGTGAACTATTTTTTTCATAATCCCTTGATAGCTCAAACTCATATCTTTCCCACAAGTATTTAGGATTTGACGGGGAGCAGAAACTTAGCATCACAGCAAACAGGTTTCTGAGTGAAGAAGGCATCTGAAAAGTAGCAGCCTCATCAAGGGTGTCTTCGATATACGTATCAGATTGTAACAGATCCATCTGGAAAGCGGCTTCTCTATAAGAAGCCATATGGACTCCATTAACAGTCAACAAGCGGTCGAACGAAATAGGGCCACAGACAGAGGATAAAAGTAGCCTCAAGAAATACCTCTCTCCTTCTGCTGGGCTAACGGTCACCAATCTTCCAACAACTTTTCGACGCTTTCTTTTAGACCACCGTTTCTTGTCTGGGCTCCATACAAAAAACTCAGGAAATTGTTTGTAAAGGAGATTGAGTTTCTGAGCATCTTTATTTGTCTGATTCATATAAAAGAACTCAGTCAGCATCGTTTTTGAGAAGTCAACATCAGCAACTAAATCAGCAAGATTGGTTCTTCTATGAAAAGAAACCATTTGCTCTCCAGGAAGATGAACCTGTAATGCATAGACGCTCGGGGTCATTTCGTTTAAAGTAAATCGAAATATCCACCAAAAAGCCTCTGCAGCAGCCACCCAGCGGCCAGACTGAAAGTCTAAAATTTCATCTACATCTTCAAAGGTATTTTCAGAATGGATATAAAAGCTCACACGATCATGCCCTTTATAAACATATTTGTAAAGATACTTAACTAACTTAACAGTGGAACATATCTCTACATTCAAATGGCAGTCAAACAAAGCCAAAAGATACGGACTGTACGGAACAACCCACCTATTATCCAACAAATGATTCCTCACTCTTACACACCGACAATCCATTCTTCTTTTATAGTGAGGATAACCATCTTCTGTACAAGTTGTGTAGTCACTAAATGTGAGAACCCGTAACTTTTTCATTTTCTAGGTTTTATTATCTTTCTAGGTTTTCTTATCTTCAATGACTTGTTTTCTGCACTTTCTGTATCCGGAAATTTTTCTAGATAATTTTTATGAGTAAATATAGTTTTTAGATGATTTTTCTAGTATCGAATAGTTTTTGAGAAATTAAGAGCGTATACCGGACGTGGGACCCACTAGTGCGAAAAGTTCGGAAAAATTCGGCCAACTAGGTTAAGTTTCGGATACTGGATTTAATTTACCGGGTGTTAAGAGATAATTAGAGGAAGCTATTTGGATTGATGTGGGAGGGAACAAAGTGATAGACTTGTATTAAATAAGTGACAAGTGTCACCATTCGATTGGAGGAACTTGTAAGACCACTATTCATTTTTTTACCAATGACCAAATAAATCAAAAATTCACCAAAAATTCCTCATTTTTGTCTTCCTCTTGGCCGAACCTCTTCCTACAAGAAAAGAAAGAAAAGCTTTCAAGTTTCTTGCTCCAATCTTGCCCAATCTCACAAACTAACCGTTTCATCTTGAATTCCTTCCATAAAACCTCTTCAATTAGTGTTAGTGAGTTGATTTGTGGAGTTATTTGGAAAGCTAAGAGGACCTATTGCTCTCTCTCTCTCTTGTTTCTAAGGTGAGTTGTGAAGAACCACCCTCCTTCCTTAATTGATACTTAAATCATGACTAGTGGTGGTATGAGATGCAATATTATGGATTATTTCCTGATTTGTGGTTGAAGTGATGAAGTTTTATTATTTTTGGGGATTTTTCTGTTTTAATATCAGCATGATTGTGTGGCTATCTATGATGATTGGAAATGGTATATAATGACTCTAGAAGGTGGAAAAAGTGGATTATTGCAAACAATTTCTGGTTTGGAAGAAATTTCAGAAAATTAGGGTTCTAGTGGGAGCATTCTGCCCGAATTTTTAGCTCCTAGTTAGAGGCTGAATTGGCCTTGGTTTAAAACATGAAAATTGTAGGGAATGATATTTTGGAGGTACCTACAAAATTTCAGGTCAATCGGAGTAGTGTAGAATGAGAAAAGTTAAAATTACTATTACTGTTCTGATTTTAACCGAATGTAAGAATTGCGCCTGTAATTGGTTGTTTTGGCTGGAATTGCTTCCGAATTAGTTGTTGAGGTCTTCTGATGAATTGTAGCCCTGTTTCTTAGCTTTCATCTGGTTTTAGAATTTCTGGATTTGGACTTGGATAGCCTGATTTATGATGTTTCCGCTAGAATGCGTTCTGTGAATCTATTTTTGTGATTCTGGTATGGTATCTTGCATTTTTGACCTGGTTAGACTCAAAACTGGGTTGAGTGACCTTCTGAAATATTGTAGCCCTATCTCTTAACTTCGAAATGGTGGGTCTTGCACCTTCATCCGCCAATCGTAGCGCCTTTGGTACCATTACCGTAAAATGACGTTAAAACTGTTTTTCTGGTTTTGAGCTTAACTTTCATTTCCGGACTTTTCCCTAACTTGACTTGTACTAGTACTACTTGGAGCTTGCTGAATGGCTATTGGATGAACTTGTTGTTGTGTGTGTACCTTTGGGTTGGAATGAGGAAATAATGAAGCCATGATGGTTGGAAAAGTTAGCAAATTCAGGGGAAGTGTTGTCCGAACTTTGAAGGGATTTATTTGCATTGAGTTTGTGATCTAAGGCTTGGATTTGAGTAAGGCAATGTTATATGATGGATGATTTCTGAGCCATGGAGGTGAGTGACCCTAAACTATTTCCGAAGTACTTGTGAACTATTTCTTGCATTATTTATTCGATTACATATCATGCGTGCTTGCATGTGGATTCATGACATGATTTGGCTTCAATGAGTTCTGGGAAAGTCTTGTGCTGGACACCAACGTCTCCACCTCTGTTCATGGTTCATGTTCATGTTTATCTGGAGCTCAAAAAGGGGCTCCCTCTCAATGTTAATGTTAAATGATCTATTTGAGGGTTGGGTGTTCAAGTGCAATGATTTCACTAGCTCAAGAGAGCAATAAACGTACATTTGATCTCTGAATCATGACATCATCGAAATGATCGAAATGCAACATTGTGAAATATATTTGATTACTGATTTTTCTGGTTACTCGCTGAGCTTCTAACTCACTCCAAAAATATTTTATTTCCCTCCACAGGGCTCAAAGCGAAGGAAGGACTTGTTGTGCTTATTCATGTGAATGGATGGCCTATATTTTGTACAGTTTGGATTTGGAATCATTTGATGTATAGTTGGGAATTGTTTCCGCTTCGCTTATGACATGTAATTTTTGGAGAATTTGATGTATATTGGAGATTTATATTGTAATATTTGAGGTTTATTCTTGTAATTCATTTGAGAATTGTAGTGAACGACTGAGTCCCGGCGAGAGTTGGGCAGGCGGCCCGCCGAACCCTCTGGTTCGCCTTAGGGGGAGGTGGGGCTGTCACAGTTGGTATCAGAGCCACTTCGCGTGGTCTCTGCGCGGAGTGAGTTTGGGGCCAAGTGGTGTTATGGTCCTGCTTTCGTGAAAGGTATAAGTGCTCTTTTGAGCATAAGCTATGAACTGTGCATGTTATAAGAGTAAGGATCATTATCATGGGACTTGAGGAAATTAGGTATGTATGTCGGGTAGGAATCTTTAATATGAATGATTCACTCTTGGGACCGGCCGGCTCGAGTTGTGAATTATCTTATTTGGGATTCTCATGCCCGGCTACTAACTCAATGAGAGCCTAGGTTAGAAAGGACTTAGGCGAACTAGAAAGGCGATTCTATGGAACTTCATATGGTCTGTTCGGGTGTGGTTAAGCGTGATCAACCTTGATTAAGATATAAATGGTGTTGTTCTCGTGGATGTTGGATAGAGCCCTGGGGGGAAAGAAAGTTTTTCATGAGTTATTTTGTACTCGTGACCTAGTCTGTCTAGAGTACTTTTGGAGGACCCTTTTGTTTTATGGGATGACTTTGTATGTACCTGACTGACTGTTCTGTATAATTGTTGATCCTGTATGTGTTCTCTGTATATGTGTTATGTGTTTACATGCTCTATGAGGGAGTTGTTTAGTTAATTGTTCTTGTTTACTGGTTCCTGTTTAGTGCTATGAAAAGGAGGGTTAGATGCCCTTTAACAGTATATTTATTTTGTGATCTAGATCGACTTAGATTTAATGGAAGGCACACGTAGTGGCCGGGGACGTGGGCGCGGGAATAGGCAACCTACACCTGAAAGGGGCACTGGAGAAACCTCCTCTGGACCTAACCCTGAACCGAGAGTTGACCCCAACGTGCAGATAGCTGCCGCTATGCAGCAAATGACCAACCTGCTGGCACAAGTGGTGCAGCAACAAGGCCAAACCCCAAACCCTAATTCTGGAAACCCGGACAATCATGTCGAAAGCGACGATAGGGCACTTGAGAGGCTCCAGAAGTTCGCACCACCGAAATTTATTGGGGAACCCGATCCGGATGTCGCCGAAAGGTGGCTCGAGAAAATGGTAGACATTTTCGCTGCCCTGCACTACACCGAAGAACGGCAGGTGACTTTCGCCGTTTTCCAGTTGGAAGGGGCGGCCCGTTCCTGGTGGAACGTCATATGGCAAAAATGGGAACGGGAACAGATGCCCAGGACTTGGGTGAATTTTATGCGGGAGTTCAACGCGAAATTCTTCCCTCCTCTAGTCCAGGAGCGGAAGGAAGATGAGTTTATCTGATTTCGTCAAGGGGCCCAATCTGTCACGGAATACGAGAGCCAGTTCATCCGCCTATCCAAATTTGCCCCTGAACTGATCATGACCGAGCAGCGGCGAATAAGGCGTTTTATCCAAGGTTTGAACGTAGAAATTCAGCAGGACCTCGCGGTGGCCCAGATTAATGCTTTTAGCGAGGCCGTAGAGAAGGCGCAACGAGTAGAAAATGCTAGGCTGCAGGTGAAAAACTTTCAAACCAAGAAAAGGGGCTTTCCTGGGAGTAGCTCTGAGCAAGAAGGTACAAGTACGCCCCCTAAGATGGGAAAGGGAAACGGAGGAGTACGACAACCAAGGGTGTCGCGTGATGTTCCTCAGGGAGGACCGGTCTCTGTTGCTCGTGGTCCCTGTGGATATTGCGGAGGGCCAAATCATACGGAGGTAAATTGTTGGAAGAAAGAGGGAAAATGTTTGCGCTGCGGAAGTGCCGATCATCGGATTGCTGACTGCCCAATTCGATTGCGAAAAGGAAAAGGGACCCCGCGACCAACTAAGACTAACCCTGGACAGTCGAAAAAGGAAGGGACTGGATCCAAGGCACCGGCTCAGGTGTATTCTTTAGAACACCATCAGGATCCTGGCTCGTCAGAGGACGTAGAAGGTATGGTCCGTTGGGTACCATAGATTTTGATAGATTCCGTTGATAAGAAAATTTCGAAGGCGAAATTTCTTTAAGGGGGAGAGAGTGTGAGAACCCGTAACTTTTTCATTTTCTAGGTTTTATTATCTTTCTAGGTTTTCTTATTTTCAATGGCTTATTTTCTGCACTTTCTGTATCCGGAAATTTTTCTAGATAATTTTTATGAGTAAATATAGTTTTTAGATAATTTTTCTAGTATCGAATAGTTTTTGAGAAATTAAGAGCGTATACCGGACGTGGGACCCACTAGTGCGAAAAGTTCGGAAAAATTCGGCCAACTAGGTTGAGTTTCGGATACTGGGTTTAATTTATCGGGTGTTAAGAGATAATTAGAGGAACCTATTTGGATTGATGTGAGAGGGAACAAAGTGATAGACTTGCATTAAATAAGTGACAAGTGTCACCATTTGATTGGAGGAACTTGTAAGACCACTATTCATTTTCTTACCAATGACCAAATAAATTAAAAATTCACCAAAAATTCCTCATTTTTGTCTTCCTCTTGGCCGAACCTCTTCCTACAAGAAAAGAAAGAAAAGCTTCCAAGT